TGTATATTGGCCACAATAAAGACACATTCATTTATTATTTGTTAATATATCATTCCAGACATGTACATGAATATTTTATGGACCCTATCTCATCTTGAGTTTGCCTGTGTTTTCTCATAATTGGGCTCAGGATATGTTTTTCTAGCTACACTGTATAGTAGTAATGCTTTGTCATTCTCAGAAGATCCCATGCAAAAGCCTGCAATGTCTCTCTGCCCTTTATTGGTCACGTTGATTTTTGATAACACGATCAAGCTGTAATGTGGTGGAATCCAGTTTCTCCACAGTATAATGATTATTTTCTTTGTTTGCCCAGCTAGCAATAAGCAGTGAGGAGATGCTTTGAAACTATGGGAAAATACCCTATGCCTTATCAAATTTTTCACACAAGTTATTTTAGCATCCATTAATTCTTTTTGAGTCTCAAAGAATCCAGCAAAATTTATTTAGAGATTTTATCATTGCTACATGAGAAATAAGTTTTTAACTATTGGATTTCTTTCATTATCTATAAATTAGCCTAGATTGCATTGAAAGATTGTCCATTGGTATATGATTTAAATTATAGTATACAATTTTAGAAATAGTTTTATTGACATATAGTTCATATATAATTTAATTGTTAAGTCATCTTAAGATTTATGCATTTGTCACCACAATAAAGTTTGAATTTTTTTTGGTGTACTTATTGTTAACTCCAGATTTCCCTTCAACCTTACCTGCTATGCCCTTAGGTTATCTAGTAAATCTAGTAACTGTCTATAGATTTACCTATCTGGATTTCATATAAAAAATCATATATATATATGATCATATATAAAACATATCATACATTAAAACATTATATAAATAACATATAAAACATAATCAGAAAGCAAAACAAAAACCTCTATCAAAATGAAAGCAGATAATGTTAAAAACTGAAATAACTTTAAAATGGGCCAATAGGGAGATGCAATGATAGAGTATTACATTGAACCTAATTGCATCTGCCATAATGAACCTTACCATGCTCTGTCTGATAACAAGGCTATTCACATCCATTAACTATGATCAACAAAGATTCACTAGAGGCTTAGTCCATGTGGGAGCCCTGCAAATGGATTTTTGGGCTTCCACTCTGATCCATAGCCTTCTGCAAACGAGGGATTCACAATTTAAGCTTTGATACCGTTCCTTCCTTTGGATTTGGATTTTACTTACAATCCTTGAACCACACCACCTGATGTGCTTCTTCCATGTAAATTTAATGACATGCCTCCCTTAGATGGCTGCTTGATTGTAGACAGGTCTTAAAGATCCCAGATGCTATTATTTTTGATAGGCAGGCACCATCTGGTTTTTTCACCACACTTTGTTATAGATTACTTCAGTGATCTCATTGAGGGCAAATATTAAGTAGGGCCATTGAATAAAATATTATATATTAAGAAATATTAATTAATTCTTATGATTGAGGCTAGAATTAAAGTTGAGCCCAAAACTCATTCATATATTTATAGTTTATAAATGTCTCTGCTTTATTTAAAGACAGCACTATCATTTCATGATAGAGAACATTATAAACCATCCCCATGGGCCATATGGTAATTCTGTTGATAGTGTTATTAATAACACTACCGTATAGAATTTAAAACACTGTTGAGAAAGGGAAATTATATATGTATAGGCTGACTTTTCAGTCTGCAATACAGAATTGTCGACTTGTACAGATTAAACACTTAAGTGACTGGACACAAGTTACATGAACAGTGGGGATTGGAGATAACACAAAACATTCCATAACATTCATTCACAAAGGCAGAACCATGTCTACCAGACTAATACATGTTATAAGAAATCAAGGAGTACATTAGAATAATAAATATATGGTAGTAATCTTGGGCCACCATTCATTGGGCACCCTGAAATCCAGAGATGTGAACCAAAGTCCAATGGCCACCAATTCCCAAACCTTGGGATAACAGGCATCTGCTGCATCTCACACTAGGGCAGTGGTTCTCAACCCTTTCCTACAGTTCCTCATGTGGTGGTGACCCCAACCATAACATTCTCTTCGTTGCTACTTCATAAATGTAATTTTGTTACTGTTATGAATCAGGTTACCCTGTGAAAAGGTCCTTTGCCCTGTTGAGAACCGTTGCGCTAGGATATTTCAGGCTCACATACAAGGGAATGTGTTACTTCCTTAAATCTGCTACAGAAAAGTTTGAGGTAAATCCCAGTTTGTTCAGTGGGATTTCCATATAGAACCCTTATGGTGTTCTGGCCTATGAAAAGTTTGTATGCCTCAAAATGGCAGTCTAAAGTCCCAGTAGTCTCTAACACATGGCCTGGTTTACCAAGGATTGGGTAGACACTACGTCAAAAGTGTCCAATTAGAACATAGTACTGGGTGTATCCCCCCACCCTTGGGTTCTATATGAGTATTGTTGGGGCTTTTTTTCCCCAATGTGAGGGTGTTCAACCTGGTTTACCCACCAACAGAAATGTAATTACCTCTCTAAGACATATAAACACACACCCCCTCCCCATGTCCTGACTTGAATTTCCAGTAAGGTCGTTGTAGGCATGCCTGTTGATTTGGAGCGACCTTAGTGTACATGGAAGCAATGGAATTGTCTTCCCCTCTCCAATCTTGAGACCCTGACCCCAGAGGAGGGGAGGTCTCCTCTGTCAAGTTGGTTTTTTAAGGTACATAGAGAGGAGGTGACAATGTGTTTTCACGGGCACTCTGAAGGCTCTCTGCCTCAGTGCTTGGGAGACGGGATTAGAAGATGACATGACCTGCGAGCAGAAGCCTGCCTTAGTTTTGATGTTCATCCTCATAGCAGTGGATTCATACAATATTTGTCCTTTTGTGGTTGACAGACTTCCCTCAGCATGCCGGTTTCTAGGGTTTCCTGGCTTCGTTGCGCATTTAGGGATGCACAGTGTTTCCTTGTGTGTGTATAGCAGAGTTCCTTTATCCATTCAACGGTTTCTGGGTCATTGCTCTTGTGAACTGTGCTGCACCGAACACAGGAGAACATGCTTCTGTCTGTGTTCTGTCTCTTACTTCTTCAGGGTATATGCCCAGCAAAAATGTCGCTGAGTTGTATGGTATTTTTTTAAATCATTTTATTGGGGGCTCGTACAACTCTGATCACAATCCATACATACATCCATTGTGCCAAGCACATGTGTACCTATGTTGCCATCATCATTCTCAAAACATTTGCTTTCTACATGAGCCCTTGGTATCAGCTCCTCATTTTCCCCCTCCCTTCCTGTTCCCCTCCCTCATGAACCCTTGATAATTTATAAATTATTATTATTTTGTTATATCTTACACTGTCTGATATCTCCCTTCATCTACTTCTCTTCCATCCATCCCCCAGGGAGGAGGTTATATGTAGATACTTGTAATCTGTTCCCCCTTTCTCCCTCACCTTCCCTCCACCCTCCCCGTATCGCCACTCTCATCACTGGTCCTGAGGGGGTCATCCGCCCTGGATTCCCTGTGTTTCCAGTTCCTATCGGTACCAGTGCACATCCTCTGGTCCAGCCGGATTTGTAAGGTAGAATTGGGATCATGATAGAGGGGTGAAGGAAGCATTCAAGAACCAGAGGAAAATTGTATATTTCATCTTTGCTACCCTGCATCCTGACTGGCTCGTCTCCTCCGCGCAGCCCTTCTACAAGGAGATGTCCAATTTCCCACAGATGGGCCCTGGGTCCCCACTCCACACTCTCCCTCATTCACAATGCTATGGTTTTTTTTTCTTTCCGTCTTTGATGCCTGATACCTAATCCCTTCAATGCCTTGTGTTCTCACAGGCTGATGTGCTTCTTCCTTGTGGGCTTTGTTGTTTCTCAGTTAGATGGCCTCTTGTTTATCTTCCAGCCTATAGGACCCCAAATTCTATATATTTTGACAGCTGGGCACCATCAGCTTTCTTCAGCGCATTTGCTTATGCACCCACTGTGTCTTCAGTGATTGTGTCGGGGTAGGCTGGTGTGCTTCTTCCATGTGGGCTTTGTTGTCTCTTAGTAATTTCTTTTCGGTAGCACTGTATCACTTTCCACAATGATTAAACATATTTTCAAATCCACCAGCAACGTAATAGAGTTCCAATCTGCCTTAATAATTCTTGATGTTTCTCACTTTCATCCAGTCTTTCCTCACAATAGTTATTTTCTAACTCTCCCAACTCCCTCCACATTCATGAACATTTTTTAGTGTAAGGAAGACTTGTGTCTCCACCATTCACTTGCTTACTGTGTCTATGCATCATGTATGAATTGATATGTGTGTTCATAGATAATTATTTTTTTCCTAATGGTTTATAGTTCATTGTTGTCTTTTAATTTTAATATTAAAAATGTCTCAGATTTGGTCAACGAGAGTACTTTTTATTGACTCCTGTGCCTTTTTTATATGAACCTGTCATTTGTTGAGCCTTTCCTTGTCTTCTGACATAAGATGCTCCGAGCTTCTCTTCTCCCTGCAGCCTAAATCCCTGAATCAGATGCTTCTCCGAGGATCCCAGATTTTCTTTAGTTGGAGGGGGCGCTTGGTATTTGGACCAGAGTTGCTCTTAGTGACAGGGATAAGAAACTGCTAGAGAAAAGCACTTTGTATTCTACATGCATGTGTCAGTCTTGCCTTCAGACTCATTCCCATTCTTGTGAGAATTATTTATTATTCAATTTATTTTCCCCCCTAGTCCTCTGTAAATACCCTTTGGTACCTTGAAACTAGCCCAGCGTGTGACACTCAGTCATTACTCAAGAGATATTTTTGAGTATCTCAACCAGTCAGTAAACTTTGCTGCTCTGAATTAACCCTCTATAGAAGAGGTTAAAAATGAAATTAAGCATGAAAACTCATCCCTTTTAGTTTTTCTCCTTCTGTAAATTTAAAATGTGTATGATAATGGCAGGTGGTTAGCCGTATCCTGTTTTGGTATTGGCTTTCTGAAAGTGATGTTCTGATGTTCTATGTCTTACATTTCTAGGTGGCTGGAATCGTTGGCAGAGCTGACGTGCTAGCAGGTCTGCTGTTTCTGTTGACCTTTCTCTCCTACAATAGGTATGTATGCCGGCTGTTAGAGCCCTGCTCTGGGATTGCACCCCGGCTGTCCCTTGGGGTCCTTAGAGTCTGCTGTGTGCGCACACTGAGCATCAGCCCGGGAGAGAGGGGCAGCCTTCCAGGCAGCGGGATTCTTCATGCGCTTTCTAGAGCCCAGGGACAAGTACACCTCGTCTTCCCTGACCCTGGGTTGCTATCTGTTCCTGCCACATTCTAAACAGTAGCCCAGCTTCATGAGGGGAGTGGTTTCCCAGAGCTGGGAAAACAAGCTCTTGCTTCTTGTGTACTATTACTCTATTTTATTTTATGTTTTTCCCATAAATGGATTTTGGAATCTTACCCTGTGAGCCAAAATATACTGGGGTGCAGCCTTTTATTACATTTACGTGCTTGCGGTTTATTTAAATTCGACTGTTCCTTTGGGTTGTCATCTAATTTAGCAATCTCTCTTTATTCTGTTTGTAATCCTCACCAAAGTAGCCCAGAGCTTGAAATAAAGAGGCTGCATGGAGAGTAGCATTGCTAAACTCTACTGTGATCTTGCAATGCACCCATCCTTTCACCAGGGAGTGGGATGAGTTCAGAAGGGACTCTGAGTCAGAACAGGTGGCTTAAAGACTGGTCTAGACAAAGCAAAAGGGGTGTGTGTGTGTGTATGCCTGGTTAGGGATTTGTGAACCTTGATGTTCAGATTGGCTCATGAACAGCCCCAGTAACTCTTTCTGAGAGGCACTGTTATAAACCGGTGATTCTCAGGTGGGGTGATTCTCTCTCTCCCCCTTCTCAGGCGCATATGTCAGTATCTGGAGACGTTTTGGGCTACCACATCTGGGGAGATCATACTGATCTAATGGGTAGATTCAAAGGATACTAACGCTGCACAATGTACTTGGCTGGCCCAGAAAACCAACAAACAAAACATGATCTGGCCAGTAGTGTCAAAATTGAGGAAAGCCTTTTAAAGAGACCATTTGTCCTTGGATCAAGGATGAAATAAACTAAATCTTTTTTGGGGGTCTAGGTTTTAAAGTGAGGACTCCCTCCTTGTCTCCTGGCTGTGGCTTTGTGACCTGCTTGTCTGAAATGACATTGTGAAAATCTTTTCAAAAACCCTAATTCAGTAATTAATTATCTTTATTTATTATGATTTTACAATAAGGTGAATGCTCACCCCCCATCTCCCCACCGCCCACCCCTCCACCCCCGTGTAAAGGTGTTCTCTTGGGCTTTTTCAGTCCTGCTTGATTTCTTTGGGTACAAGATCAGGCCTATTGCGTATTCATACCTGGGTGAGAATGAGCCAGACGCTTACAGGCTTCTGTGGAGCAAGCTGTTCCCACTTTTACAAATCTAAGATTTGAGGCAGCTCTCTAGAAGAACACAAAGCCACTAAGAACTTTGCGCTGCATTTCACGCAGGTATTCCAGGACAAGACAACAAAGGTAAGACGCTGTAGCGTCAGACACCGCCCTGACCTCCAAGGAGAAGAGCAAATGGGTGTGGCAACTGCTGCCGGGAAAAGTGAGGGTTCTGCTCTGTGAGGTGAAAGGAAACATGTACCACACTGAGGAGTTATTGAAAAATCCAGGGTACAAACTCTACTGAGAAAAAAAACACATTTCCCCTAATACATAAAATCCAGAATTGTCAAAGGAAAAGACTGAAGATCAGGATCGTGGCAAGTAGAGCCATTTACACTGGAATCATGATGCTGCTGTGCTAACACTTGACCTTTAATAATCCATGGAATCCTCTCAGCAACGCTTTGGTCCCATTTCACTCTGCAGGGGACTGATGCACAGAGAGGCAAAGCGGTTTGCCACACAACACTCCGTTAAGTTTGCAGAGCTGGGATTTGAACCCAGGGACCCTGACTCTACAGCCCCTGTGTGTTGCTTAGTAACCTGGCTTGTTTGCTTAAAGTATATTCACGGAAATATCTTCTGTGCCACTAAGTATACATTGTTGATAGTAATTTAAATGGCTTCCTGGTGTTTGCTAGCATACACCATCATGTATCTAATGGATCCTCTGTCATTGTATAGCAACTTCCCCTCATCCTTGAACTTGTTAATAATTCTATGACCAGTAAGCTCAATAAAACTCCTTGCTGGTTTTTATAACTACGTAGAATAAAATGTTTCTATTTGACTTCATCTTTCAAAGTGGTGTCTCCAGTCACCCGTATTTCTTCTTGGGTTGAAAGCCTCTCCCCTTGTTTTTCAGGAGTTTGGACCAGTGTGGTGGTGGGGAATGCTTCCCTCGCACGACGTCTCCCTTCTTCTTGCTTCTCAGTTTGGCTCTGGGGACCTGTGCCATGCTGGTGAAAGAGACCGGCCTTACGGTGTTTGGCGTGTGCGTGGTTTATGATCTCTTCTCCCTCTCCCACAAGGAAGAGAACTCGTAAGTCATTTTCAAGTTTTCATATCATGCCGTTGCGTATTCCAGAGAGGAATTACTTGAAACAAGGGGCTTAAAACGGGCTTTCATTGAACAATAAATAAATAAAAGCAGGACCATTGTTCCATGCAATCTCAGTCTAGACACCAGTTCAGTGAACAGGATTTACTAACGTGAGTACATTTCATATATTCAGGCTCTCACTTCCCAAACCAGTGAGAACGAGGAAGTCGTGTTTATGATGCGAGGCTTGGGAGTGGAAAAGCATCTATGAGAACTGCAAACTCATACCGTTTTCTTGGTTGAGTTGCATATTTATAGCCAAGTAGATTCTGACTCAGTCTCATGAAGAAAATCTTGGGACATAAGTGGCTTCAAATGCTAATACGGTTTTCACAAGTGATCATGAATCTCTGTTATGAATTTAAGTGTGTCCTACACCCCCCACGTCTCCCCACCTGCCCCCCCCAAACGCATCCAACTAACTAGACCTTGATGCCTGCCTGGCATTATGTAATCATCCTCTGTTTTGTGATCTGATGTAACTAGCCTGTGTTGTAAGTCCTAACCTTTATGATATTAATGAGACAGGTTTAGAAGCAGTTATATTAATTAGGACACAATCTACTGGATTAGCTTGTATTTTGAGATATCAAAGAGATTGCACAGGTAAGCAGAGTTCTGGGGGCCTCACTACCTCCAAGGAAGAAGAGCCAGGAGTGGAGGGCATCCTTTGGACCTGGGGCCCTTGCTCTGAGAGCCTTCCAGACCCAGGAAACAGAAAGCTATAGCACTGGAGAATGGTTCAAGACAGTGAGAAGTGGCAACAAAGAACTGCTAGCAGCAGAATTGGAAGAGTGGCAGGAGATGGTGCAGTGGGTGTGCCAACCCGTGGAGCGAGACAGTAAGTGCCTGCAGGCTGAAAGCTTGCTGGCAGAGTGGGGCAACTCTGGCCACGTGTCGATGGAGTTAATGAGCCTTGTAACACCTGCCCAAGCAGAGTGGAAACTGGAGTGGGTTGGCACACCCACTGTGTGGATTCAGGACTGAGATACAGAAAGAATGGCCTGTCTGTGATCCTGGCAAAGAAGCGGTCCTGACTGAAGAACTGTATGTTTAGCCATTTCTGATCCTGATTTGTAATCTGTTGTTCCAAGACACATGGAGATCTACAAGGCATAGTGGGCCCACAGACGCTGAAGGAGATGAGGATCTTCTCTTAGAGCTGACAGAGAACAAAAGCTTTTTCTTAGAAGTGGCCCCCTCCCCTGAATTAGGATTTCTAGTCTGAAGTGCTAAGAGAATAAGTTTCTCTTTGCTAAAGTCCGCCACTTGTGATATTCCTGATACAGCAGCACGAGACAACTAAGGCAGCATTTGAATTCAAACAAATGTTGTCCATCAAAGAGCACTGCTAACTCGGAGCCTGTTCCTTTAGTCGGGTGATGGTGCTGCTGCTACTTAAGATTTCGGATGGTTCCTAGTGGAATTGAATGAAAGGCCAGTGTAAATCATACAACTCATACATTATGTTCAAATTAAAGAAGAAGTTTACTTAGTGGTTCATTTTCATTAAAAAAAATGAGAGGACATGATTTCACCCTGTGAATGCACAGGTGAAAGGAGTGACTCACGCATATTAAAAGTTTAAGGACATGATGCTCTCCGCCCTCCCAGGCCCGAGTCACTAACAATTTGACATGCGGATCCCCCTCTTCCGCTCCCTATCCCTTGTTGACGGAATGATAAGAACTGTAAAATTGCATGGCCACAAGCTGAGATGAGTCATTAAATGCTGATCCCTTTCTTGCCTGGTCATGAGATACTTGGAGATAATTTAAATAGAGCTTAGAAAATCTGAGACATGGAAAAGTGTCCAGTTTTCACTTTGGCCCAAGCTCAGGCCCAGAAAACCATGAACCTGACACTCCTCTGTGACTTCGAGGAGAATCCCTCTTCTCTTGTTTCACCTCTCTC